AAAAAAAAAAAAAAAAGATGCAAGTATTAACAATTTCAATATGGCGACCACGGAGTATCAAATTCCAAGCCCAGGGCCCTTCTGAATGGGGTTCACCATACAACTGCACTGGTTACACCCTCATGAAGCCATCCCTGGAGATGCCAGTGAGCAAAAGAACAAATGGGCCACTCCTGACCGATGCATTCTGTGCCACACAGCCTGTCCTCACATGACCAGTCATGATAGCTGCAGGATGAAGAATATGTGATGCGCTTTCATATTCTTTTTGTTGTTGTTATTGTTCTGATCAAACCATGCTTAAGGGCTCAGGTCTCCCTAAAAGCCAGTCCTTACAAGGTGGGAAGAGTCAGGAAAGGCTGCCTGGTACAACAGCAAGAATATGGCCAGGAGACAACAAACCTTGGCTGTCATCTTCAACATTGCATATGGTAAGCACATCCCTTCATCTCTGGGCCTCTGCTTTCTTATTATTAAATTCCTCATGTACCATTGGCTTGCTTATTATTAATCATTAATAGGGGTTAGGCGAGGTAACCTTTAACATTCCCTCCAGCTCTGTTTATGTGAGAAGGAAACAACATAAATAGGTGTTTGACATAAGGTATTTCATGTCCTGACTGTTTTATTTCCATTTTTATTGGACTCGTTGTAATCAGTGTATTTTGATTAATCAAAGCCATATCTGAGCTGTTTGTTCTGATGTTTTTGTAGCATAGAAGCCAAAAGAAATGAGCTGTGAGTAATTTGGATGTGTGTAGGCAAAAAGGCCCCTCGTATCCTTCAGGCCTAGCTGCAGGTGGGTTAATTCTCTAACGCTAGATTTTAAAATAACAATAATTAATACCTGGGACACATCCTTTTATCTAAGATGTTTAAAGGGCTTTGTGGTCATTAACCCATAAATCCACTGGCCTCAAGTCATCAGGAACTCAAGAGGAATCTCCTTAGAAGACAAGCAGACCAAAAACTAAAACATCACCAGGAGGAGGAATGACAACCATGACTAACAGCAGGAAGGGGGTGGGAGGTGCAGGATCAACAAAATAGTGCTCCTGGAAGAAGTAAATGGAAAATCCTCCTGCGGTTCTGCTGACAGCAGTTTCACCACTCACTATGCTCTTCGAGTCATATTTCATCATCAGAAAAATCCCTTTACCCTTAATGTAAGCATTAGCCTTCACAGCTTTGGAAAGACTGCTGTTACACCCAAAGCAGGTAAAGGGGAACTTAAGGTGTAATTGGATGTAAGAAAATTCTATCATCCCTAGAATTTTCTTCTCTCATAGGAGAAAATGGCTTTTTGAAGTTAAGGAATCTCTAAAGATAGAACACCAGCCAGGCGCAGTGGCTCACATCCATAATCCCAGCACTTTGGGAGGCCAAGGCGGGCAGATCACGAGGTCAGGAGATGGAGAGCATTCTGACTAATACGGTGAAACCCCATCTCTACTAAAAATACAAAAAGTTAGCTGGGCGTGGTGGCGGGCGCCTGTAGTCCCAGCTACTCGGGAGGCTGAGGCAGGAGAATGGCGTGAACCTGGGAGGCGGAGCTTGCGGTGAGCCCAGGTTGGGCTACTGTACTCCAGCCTGGGCGACAGAGCGAGGCTCCGTCTCAAAAAACAAAACAAAACAAAACAACAAAACAAAAAAGATAGAGCACCACTTCAGAATGATTTTGTCAAGGGTTTGTTAAGTCTCTGACTTATTTGCAGGTATTTTCCATTAATACACATCTGTTGAAAAACCACACAGCTAAAAGGACCTTCTGAAAGATCTGGAATTTTATCTTTAGAATTATTCCATTAATCGAATTATCCATCACCCAGGAGGTTCTCCACATGGGAGCAGGTACTATGGGAACATAAAATGTGGAACCTGACCCCCAGGCAGCTATAAATCCAATCAGGAGATGAGATTAATTCAAATAACATGAATCAAGGCACTTCTCATTTATTATTCATTTGTTTCAATTCATTATTATCTAATATGTATTCGTAAGTTAACTAATAGGCAGAAAATAGGGTTTCTGTAATTTTGAACAGAACAGACCCCAAGTCTTGTAGAGTTCCTGGTGGAAGGTGATCAGCGAGGGCTAGAATGATGAGGGAAGGCAGGAAGAGTCATAGAGGAGATAAGATGAACAAAATCCTACAGGGAGGGAAAGAGTTTGGTTCAAAAATAGGATAAACATGAATCAAGCAAAAGACAGTTTCAGACAGCGACAGCACCTAAGAGGTGAGCAGATGAGAACTTATTTTTTTTGTGAGCCAGAGGAAAAACCAAGCGGGCTAAGTCATGGAGCCTGGAGACGTGAAGGAAGTACAGGTGGGTAAGAAAGGTAGAGCCAGATCACAAGCACCTTGAAACCAGACACTGGTTTGGGGTCTTCAGCAGTCCTCTATCGAAATACATATATTCAGGAGCCGGGTGTGGTGGCTCACACCTGTAATCCCAGCCCTTTGGGAGGCAGAGGCAGGCGGATCACTTGAGGTCAGGAGTTTGAGACCAGCCTGGCCAACGGGGTAGAAAGCCCTGTTTCTACCAAAAATACGAAAAACTAGCTGGGAGTGGTGGCATGCACCTGTAATCTCAGCTACTCAGGAGGCCGAGGCAGGAGAATCGCTTGAACCCAGGAGACGGAGTGAGCCAAGTTTGCGCCACTGCACTCCAGCCTGGGCGACAGAGGGAGACTCCATCTCAAAAAAAAAAAAAAAAAAAAAATCTATTCAGGAAGAGAATCAAGGAGTAAATTGGAGGTGGCAGGGGCGTGGTTGGTGGGTGTAGGCTGGACACTATGCTGTGCTGTATTTTGTGTCACCATAGGAGAAAAGGAATATGTACTCCAGTATCAGCCAGTGACCTTTAATTGTCAGTTCTTTATCTTGGGATAAATTCACAGACTGATTCACAGTTTTGCCTGCCACTGGCCGTTTTAATGCCAGTAGTAGGCAAAACCACCCTTCCTTATGGCCCAGTGAAACCCTCATTACCTGTACTTCGTTGAATGGATACTCTTTTGAATTAAAATCAAGATGTAGGGGCCAGGCGAGGTGGCTCATGCCTGTAATCACAACACTTTGGGAGGCTGAGGCGGGCGGATCACAAGGTCAGGAGTCTGAGACCAGCCTGGCCAACATAGTGAAACCCGTCCCAGCTACTCGGGAGGCTGAGGCAGAATTACTTGAATCCGAGAGGCCAGAGGTTGCAGTGAACAGAGATCGCGCCATTGCACTCCAGCTTGGGTGACAGAGCAAGACTCCATCTCAAAACAAACAAACAAACAAACAAAATCAAGATGTGGGAAAGTCTCCAGATAGCTTTTTAGGAAATACATCAGAAGAAGGACGAGGTATCCTGGTGTAAGTCACCTGAGGGCCTTGTGTAGCTTCCCTGAATATGTTGCAATACACTGGGAGGAAGCCGTATTTCCTAGATTTATACCCACTTTCAGATTTACACCCGCTCCCTAAGGCCAAGGTGCCTCTGGTCAGAAGTAGAATGAAAAAGAATTGTTCTCACCAAAGAAATCTCTGTAGAAAAGTTGCTGTGAAACTGGAATAGGTGTGTCTTTCTGTCCTTCCGGTTCTTTTTATAGACACTGCAGGAACCTCAGTGAGAGCCTACAGTCCTTCCGCCCATTTGGGAAGAGATTAAAGAAGCTCAGGTTGGCTCTTTCTTACTCATTGGCAGTTACAACCTCACCAACACTACAGCCTAAGCTTCCAGAGTGGACACGGAGAAGGTAAGTTGGAATTGGGGGGCCATGCCCTCAGCTGTAAACCTGGGTCACTCCAGCCATCTGGTCTGGGGATAACTGAAGGGACATAGAGCTAAGGGGTATTCAATGGCAATAGATTTTTTTTTTTTTTCAAATGAGTATGTGGGATCTTTTTCCTGGGCCACCTCAGTCCTCAGTCAAGACATGGACTTTCCCACTAAACTGTTCAAAAAGGTATTTAAAGAAAGGGACCATTTTGTACAATTCTTTGATGAACAAATAACAGGTGTTTAAATACAACCTGTTGCATTGGATTGACTTGAATTGAACTGAAAGAAGGAACAGTCATTAAAATTACTGGGAAATTTTATTCCCGGTAATTCATCTGCCTGTCTCCTTCAAGCAGTGCATCAGTGTCTAGAACGATCCAATGATCCATTGATGTTGGCAGTCCTTGTTCTGGAGCCTGATATAACTGAATTCCGTCAATCATGCAAACATTCTCATACACCTCCTTTTATGAAAAAGATTTTGTGTTAGCTTTCAAAAAGCCTTGTAAATTAGTATACACAAATAGACATATGATCAAGTGAAGTCTGTTCAGCTTTTCCCAGCAGGATGAAGCCAAGATCGTTTTGAGGGGTTTAGGTTGCCTTTCTCATTTCCTTTACTGACATCCTATATAAAACTGTTATACATTTGGGGTAATATGTGTGATGGCATTTCCCATCCCCTTAGACTATGTTTGCATATATCTTTGAATTTTCTTCCCCTGGGGAAACTTAGCATTTAGATAAGTATCAGGAATCAAACAAAATGTAACTCAGGCTCTCGACAGTGTCCTAGGAACAATTTTGGTAAAGACATTTATTTCGTATGCCCAGGTGTCTTCATTTCAGAATGACAGATGTTAGAGTGCCCTCATGGACCACCCTATAGGCATTCTTGTAGGTATTAGGTTGGTGCAAAAGTAGTTGCGGTTCTTGCAATTACTTTTTTTATGTGTTTTTTGGTTTTTGGTTTTTGTTTTCAGACTCTGTCGCCCAGGCTGGAGTGCAGTGGTGCGATCTTGGCTCACTGCAACCTCTGCCTCCCGGGTTCAAGCGATTCTCCTGCCTCAGCCTCCCAAGTAACTGGGACTACAAGGCGCATGCCATCATGCCCGGCTAATTTTTTTTGTATTTTTAGTAGAGATGGGGTTTCACCACGTTGGCCAGGCTGGTCTTAAACTCCTGACTTCAAGTGATCCACCCATCTCGACCTCCTAAAGTGCTAAGATTACAAGCATGAGCCACTATACCCTGCCTTGTTTTTTGTTTTTTGAGACAGAGTCTCACTCTGTCACCCAGGCTGGAGTGCAGTGGGGCGATTTCTGTCCTGGGTTCAAGCGATTCTCCTGCCTCAGCTTCCTGAGTAGCTGAGATTACAAGTGTGCACCACCACACCTGGCTAATTTTTGTATTTTTAGTAGAGACGGGGTTTCACCATGTTGGCTAGGCTGGTCTCGAACTGCTGACCTCGTGATCCACCCACCTCAGCCTTCCAAAGTGCTGGGATAACAGGAGTGAGTCACTGCGCCCAGCCTTCTTGCCATTACTTTTAATAGCAAAAACTGCAATTACTTTTGCACCGACCTAAGAGATGCAGAGTTGTCATTTTGTGTCATCCTTTTTCTGCAGGGCATCAGAAAACCATTCTGGTGAGGTCTACACCCATAAGTCACCATGTACAAGGACTGCATCGAGTCCACTGGAGACTATTTTCTCCTCTGTGACTCTGAGGGGCCATGGGGCATCGTTCTGGAGTCCCTGGCAATACTTGGCATCGTGGTCACAATTCTGCTACTCTTAGCATTTCTCTTCCTCATGCGAAAGATCCAAGACTGCAGCCAGTGGAATGTCCTCCCCACCCAGCTCCTCTTCCTCTTGAGTGTGCTGGGGCTCTTTGGACTCGCTTTTGCCTTCATCATCCAGCTCAATCAGCAAACTGCCCCCGTACGCTACTTTCTCTTCGGGGTTCTCTTTGCTCTCTGTTTCTCGTGCCTCTTAGCCCATGCCTCCAACCTAGTGAAGCTGGTTCGGGGTCGCGTCTCCTTCTCCTGGACGACAATTCTGTGCATTGCTGTTGGTTGCAGTCTGTTGCAGGTGATTATTGCCATTGAGTATGTGACTCTCATCATGACTAGAGGTATGATGTTTGTGCACATGACACCCTGCCAGCTCAATGTGGACTTTGTTGTACTCCTGGTCTATGTCCTCTTCCTGATGGCCCTCACATTCTTCGTCTCCAAAGCCACCTTCTGTGGCCCATGTGAGAACTGGAAGCAGCATGGAAGACTCATCTTTATCACTGTACTCTTCTCCATCATCATCTGGGTGGTGTGGATCTCCATGCTCCTGAGAGGCAACCCGCAGTTCCAGCGACAGCCCCAGTGGGACGACCCGGTCGTCTGCATTGCCCTGGTCACCAACGCATGGGTTTTCCTGCTGCTGTACATTGTCCCTGAGCTCTGCATTCTCTACAGATCGTGTAGGCAGGAGTGCCCTTCACAAGGCCATGCCTGCCCCGTCACAGCCTACCAACGCAGCTTTCAAGTGGAGAACCAGGAGCTCTCCAGAGGTACATTTCTGGGGGATTCAGGGAGCAGGGAGGTACTCCTACAGGAGAAGCAGGAGAGAAATCATGCAGTAGGATGAGCCAAGAGGAAACTGAAAGAAAATGGTCAGATATGGGGTGGGTGGCTTCATAGTTCAAGCATGGAAATGCAAACTCCCAGAATCAAGGTTAAATTTTTATGAAAAATGAGTTCTTCCAAAGCATAGAGCTTTATGGGGAGAGACCAAGACATACATGAATCAAAGGCCCCAAAGAAAGAGGGCATGACTCTGAACGTTCACACTGGCTAAAGAAAGGCATCCACTATAAAATGAGTTAACCAGGCCGGGCGCGGTGGCTCACGCCTGTAATCCCAGCACTTTGGGAGGCCGAGACGGGCGGATCACGAGGTCAGGAGATCGAGACCATCCTGGCT